TCTCTGTCTAGGGTTTCTCTACTATGATATAACTCTGGCTGTCCTAGAACTTGCTTTGTAGACCAGGCTGGAGGCTTGCGCCACCTTCTCCAGTCCCTGGCCCTAGAGTCCCTTTGTTTGTTTTTGTTGAGATGAGATACAGCCTTTTATTGCTCAGGTCGGTCTTAAACTAGCCATGTAGTTGAAGATGATCTTAAAATAACAACTCTCCTGTCTCCTATCTACTGAGTGCTAGAATCACAGATGTCTGTCATCATCCTGGCTCATGGCAGTTCTGGGGACACATTAGGGCTTGGTGCATGACAGGCACTTTACCAACTGAGTTTATGTGCTTGAATTCTTTAGCTGATATCTTAGGGTTTCCAGTAGCAAATAATTATTCATTCAAAAATATAATTGTTCTTAAATTTGATTAGATTACCCTAACTTCAATTGCTAACTACTGTTTTAACAGAATGTTCTAATGAAGTTTCAGCACAGGCACTAAGGTACAGAAGTGTGAACTCAGAAGGGATAGACTCTTGGATTTGATAGGTGCCCAGCCGTTGGTGTGACGCTTCAGAATAGTACTGGAAACTCTAAAACTCCTAGAAGGAGTCTTGTTAGAAAGAACATTTTGTGACGATTCTTCAGAAATCTAGGCTGTGGTCTCTTCCTCCTGTGCATGGAAGAGTCTCCAGAGCATCTCCATCCATTGGGGAGCACTGAGGCCTGTGGCAGCTCCTGGAAACCCCACCAAGGAGGGGCTGGAGAGATGGCTCCATGGTTAAGAGCACTGGCTGCCCTTCCAGAGGTCACAAGTTTGATTCCCAGCAACCACAAGGCAGTTTACGACTGTCCATATGTTCAGTCTTGGGGTTTCCTTCTTCTGTCTTCCTCCAGCACTGCATGCACAGGATACACATACATCCAGCAAGGAAAGAGCCATTGCTGGCCAGCAGCTGACAGCCAGAGCTGTGCAGGAAGAGCTGTGCAGGAGGTGGCTGGGTTGGGATTTGAAAGGATTTGTGAGTGCTCCGGTGTTTCCTACAGAGGAGGCTGAGTAGGCAAGAGGTAGCCCCACAGCTGTTGTGACTCCTGCCAATTTAGACTGCTTGGAGGGATGGGGCGGGGAGGGGTGGGGTGGGGCGGGGCGGCTCAAACAGTCTCAGGAATGACAGCCAAAAAGCTGTCCGGAGAGCTGCAGCCAAAAGGACTCAGAGGTTAGACTCTGAAGAACTCACAGAAATGCATCTGAGAAAAGTCAGCTCCAATCAGCCTTGTCTCTGTTGGCAGTGTCACCGATGTGTAATTAATGTCCTTGCCTTCCTTCCCGGCCTCGTTTCTCCCACACCCATCTTAGAGAGAAGGGACAGCTGGGGTGGGGATTGGGAAAGACGGGAAGCGGCTGATTCCAAGTCTTTTCTATCATGGCTGGGTCTGGAAAATAGTTACTGAGTGAAGGCCGGCTTGTTAGCTGGAGTGGCTGCAGGCTTTCTGTCGTTCAACATGAATAAAAAGGACCATGCAAATCTGCTAAAGTGCTCATCCAGTGACAGAGGAAACGGTTTCCTCCACAGATAAATTTAAGAGGAAAACCAGGAAACTACGTGATTGTATCTTCCCGTTGGTGCTATTTAATAAACTTGCAAGCCTGTAAGTTTTCACGTTTGGCATAGACTTAATGTCCTATGAGATCACTTATTTTTTAGCACAAAATTATGATTAACGACTATTATGGCTACTTAATACTTAGCTTTCAGTTTTTGGCTTTCTTTTGTATGCTTACAGAATCAGCAGGAAGGTGTGATTTCTAATTTTCAAGATTTTTTTTCTTGTGAAAGGTAATATATTTTTTAGAAAAGATATAACACCATGTATAGTTTTACCAAAATCCACACTCATCAAAGACTTTGGCAAGGGTTTTGTTGTGTGGCAGTGCTGTCTTTCTTCTGTTTTCTTGGGCAGTGTGTACTCTGACTCATGAACATTGGCTGTAACACATGCTCTTAGATTTCATGATGTGGTTTACTATTCAATGTTAGTACCTTGATAATAAAAGTGCCTTATCTAAGAATAGATGGAGTGTTCCAGTCTGCTGGGGTTTCATAGTGTATTCTCTCTTTTTGTTGTTGGTTGTTGTATTTATTTGTTTTTGAGACATTGTCTCACTTTTGGCTGTCCTGGAAGTCACCATGTACATCATCAAACTCATAGAGATCCTCCTGCTTCAGCCTCCTTCGTGCTAGAATTAGGGGCGAGCACCACCATACCTATCCCAGTAAACTGTGTTTTAAGCATAGATTACTAAGATTTTGAATGGGATTACACTATTACTATGAGTGATTTTTTTTTTTTAAGACAACGTCTTTGTCACTCAGGCTGATGGAAGCTCACAGCAGTCCTCCTACCTCAGCCACCCGAGTGAGCCACCATGCCTCGCAAAAACCTTTTATTCTAAACCACAAATAATTAGTAGGTGGTCATGATTATCCATGTTTCATTAAAATCAAATAAAACAAAAAATATTTGCTCTAGAAAAACTGAAAAATTCAGCTGTATACTGTGAAAATATGTACAAAACTAAAAATTTAAAGCAAATGTATGGGATTCTGAGTCAAATTTGTATACATTTATTTCCAACATTTATTTTACTTTCAGGTGATGGAAATTTCCAAAAGAGCATGACTCAGAGTGTGTGTGTGTGTGTGTGTTAATCCACATTAGTAAAGTCCTAAAAATTACTTAATAAAAATAGTTTTGAGAAGTTGTCTCAAGAAGTACATAAAATCAATCCAAATTCTTCATTGCAGCTCGCTCTCCCGTCTTGTCTGCAGACTAAGTTTTCAGTCTCTTCAGCTTCACACTGAACCTCTGCAGACAATGCCAGTACCTTCTTTCCAGTTTACTAGATTACCTCCCTGAGAGCCTCTGTTAATGTTTGTTCTAGATTGGTTCTTTGCAGATAGATGTTTTTCTTGGTTTAGGCTCAGGTTTGGGTGGACCAGGTTTCCTTGGCAGTCTGGCAGAGCATCCTGTGGTCTGTTGTTAGTTAGTTTGGAACTGTGTTGCATCCTCTGGAGGTGTTCTCTCCGTCACAGCACTGATGTTGGTGCAGCAAAAAGAAAGCAACAGGCTGGCAAGATGATGCTCTGTGGTCAAGATCGCTTGTGCTCCTGTGGGGACCGAGTTTGGTCCCAGCACCCAAAAGAGTTTTAAGAGAACAGTCTTTTTTCTGATAAAGGAAGAAAATTAGAATCATGGTTATTTAAGTATATTATATAAGTATCGTATAATTTAAGAACAAGTTAGCCAGGCGGTTGTGGTGTACACCTTTAATTCTAGCACTTGGGAGGCAGAGGGAGGTAGATTGCTGAGTTCGAGGCCAGGCTGGTCTACAGTGAGTTCTAGGGCAGCCAAGGCTACACAGAGAAACCCTCTCTCGAAAAACAGAAAGAAACAAACAAACAAAAAGCCCCCCCCCGGGGGGGGGGGGACGCGGAGAGGAATAACTTAAATTGCAAGAAAACAAAAAGATGGTGAAGTTACCAGTTTAGGCATCTTTATTTGGACATTAGTCATTGCAGTCTCACCTTTGTCAGAGCTTTTCATTAGGATGTGTGCTGCCCGGCATTGAGGTTTACTTTCCCAGCCCTGAGTAGTTGTGAGAAGGTATATGATTAATCCATTTCCAAGATATTTAAACCGACTCAGAAGGGAAGTGTCAGCTTCATCATAGGTGTGTCACACACCCTCATGTGTATAGGCTCTATTAGCTGATTTATTACACTGCTTGGGGAGAGCTTCCAGGCTCGATGGCAGGTCACTTGGTTCCTTGACCTACTGCTACGATTATTTATACCCTATGCTTTCTGCTTTTGTTTTTATTTTTATGGAATCAGAAACTATGACTTTTGATTCCTACAACTTTTTTTTTTTAAGTTGAGGAAAATAACATACTTGCAGGGAAGAAAATAAAACATTGTAGTTTTATAAATAATGGTGAAGTAAATACCCCAAAGTTATTGTCAATTTCTTTAGGACAAAAACCAACCAACTAAAAAACCAACCAAAGCAAACCAAACCCCTAAGTCCAGATGCTCCACAGATGATCACCCCTTACCTCCTTGTTCCAGAATGATCGTCAACTTTTCTCCACCGAGTTAATCACAGGCAGACTTGGGGGGGGGCTTATATCTGTACGCGTAGGTATCTGGAGGGCTAGCTGAGGGCTAGCTGAGATAGACTTGGGGTAAATCTGAGGCCAGTTAGGGCAACATAATCAGTTCTAGGCCAGCAGGGGCTACAGAGTGAGACCCTGGCTTACAGAAACATCCTAAAACACAAGAGTTATAGTCACTATCCTGATTTCAGTCACTGTCCTGACTTCAGTAGTCATTTCTTTACGTTATGACTTCCCTGGTATAAATTCCTAAACTAAATTGTGTGAGTGTGTCTGTGCATGTGTGTGTGCATGTGTATGTGGTGTGTGTATGTGTGTGTGTCTGTGATGTGTGTGTATGTGATATGTGTGTGTGTATGTGGTGTGTGTGGTGTGTGAGTGTGCATGTGTGTGTGTGTGTGTTTTGAGGATCTTACCATATCATCCAAGCTGACTCAAACTCCTTTTTCTTCTGTCTTAGCTTACTGAGTGTTCGGACCATAGGTATGCGCCACCATGTCCAGTTTTCTTTTTAATTTTTAATTTTTTTAATTTAATGAATTTTGTTTCATAGATTATAAATTGCTTAAAACCACAGATATCAATTAGACAAGGTCATAGAAGAGTGTTCAACTAATTTAAATGCACAAGCCTTTCAAGAATTCAACGAAATACAGTTGCTGTATGAATCACTGCTGGCCAGATATTTAAGCAGGTGGCATTGAGGCCTGCTGCTGGCTTACTGCAGCCTCTCCTCCCTCTGCCTGTCAGCATGCACCAGTGCTCTTCTTAGCAGTGACTTAGCCACCTTCCCAACCCAGTTTGCAGCATTGTGACGCTCTCCCGTCTTCTCCCCCAGCCTGGGTCGGCTCGCTGTCCATGGGCATGATCTTCTTCTGCTGCCCCATAGTGAGCGTCTTCACAGACCTGTTTGGCTGCCGCAGAACAGCTGTCGTGGGTGCCGCTGTGGGCTTCATTGGCCTCATGTCCAGTTCTTTTGTAAGGTAAGGACGTGGTCACTGCTTCATGTTGTTCATGAACCTTCTGGGGACTTCGCTGTTTACAATGAGAATCCCCTTAAAATCTTACCATTCCATAGATCAGAAGTGTTAAACACAGCAGCATGCCGGAGGCCGAACGTTGAAATACATTTGCCTGCAGGGGCCAATTTAGAATTCAGATTATATATGTTCACTGGAGCCAAGAAAGTGTGTTTCTGTTTGTCTTAATCTATTTACATAAATCCGTAAAGGAATCTAGTCGTATCTGTCAGTCATCTAAAGCTGTGGCTTCAGTTTGAAGCCCTGCCATCTTAGCTAAAGGGCTGAGTGATATTTAAAGTAATAAGCTTGATAGGAAAATTATCTTATTGATGAGAATAAGGTCTTTTAAGTCAGTGCCAACTCAGATAGAGAATTCCAGTCTATGGTTTAAGAAAATAATAAAAAGTTTTAAAAATATTAAAACATTTTCATATCATGAAAAATAAAGTGGTTAAATATACTTGAAAACTTAATGTCATAAATTACATCTATTGGAAGAAAAAGATGCAGGCCCCCAAAGACACTAATGTCAACGGCCACGCTGTGGTGTTCAGAGCTCTTGTCCACAGCTCTCATTGTGGTTCTGAGAATTTTCAGTTAGAGAAACACTGGTGTGTACTCTGCCACACAGGTTGGTAGCAGGAGGCCATTAGCAAGGAAAAGCCCAAAGACCATTCTCCAGCTAGAGGCTTGTCTCATCTCTGTCTCCCCTGCCTACCCTCGTGTTTCCTTAGTTGAAAACCATGATGCAGTCCTGAGTGGCGGTCAGCAGGGATCTGGCTTGTGGTGTGGCCCTGCTTTCTAAGTTTCTTCGTACTTATTCAGGGACACCCTTAGCTTCTCACGTCACTCCCTACACACACACACACACACACACACACACACACACACACACACACCTCTTCCTCAGTCTAAGCAAGCAGTTAGTTTTTGTACTTTTCCCTTCAAATTTTACTCGGGTTCCTTCAAATTATACCTCTTAGTAGCATAAGAAGGTTCTCATCTTTAAAGACCGTTTCAGATTACATCCAAACTTCTTATTTAAAAAAAAAAAAAAAGAAGTTTGTTTGAGATTCTGCAGGTACTGATGTCCTGACTGTGACTTTACCACTTGCTGAGGGCTCAGAGGGAACTGCTAGGAAGAAAGCCAGTAGAGGGTCCCCAGCTGAGTAGGAAGTCGCACAGATAAATACCAAGCATTTGTTTTTCAAACCTTTTTGACTTGCAAAAGAGAGAGAGAGAGAGAGAGAGAGAGAGAGAGAGAGAGAGAGAGATTGTAACCAGTTTGTCCTTCTCCTTTTAACGCCATATCTCCAGGAGAAGTCCAGGAGAAGCATTTCTGGAGACCACATTGATCTTAATATATGTAATATCCTGACATGACTTAGTTTCCTTGTTTAACCTGCCAGTGAAAGGCTGTCAGATCATCATAGAGTGTCACAGAGAAAGCTGGTGCAAGTTACCAGCATAAGGTGGCAGGTCCACTTTCCTGTGACTCTACTTCTCCCTTTTAGGGAGCCTTCTCTAGCACACTGGTCACACCAGTGTCCTGGCTCCAAATCCTGTATGCATGATTAGAAAACCTAGTAGTCTTACTGACTTACACTGAAGTTACATGTCCAGCCTCGACCACTGAAAGCAGCTGTTTGTCCTGAGGACAGACTTGAGTGACAGAGGTTCTGTGAGAACAGTAACACAAAGGTACACAGGAAGATGTGAGGACAATCTTGGTAAGTGCACAAGATTTCAACTCATGCTCCAAAGACAGCTCCTGCTCCCTGTCCATGCCTGTCTGGCTTTATCGTCTCCGTATTGTGGAGTCAGTCCCTGTGGCCCTTGCTGTTTGTGATAATGATCCTATCAATACTGTTCCTAATACATATATATTGAGGGAGGCAGAGAAATGTGTGATATATTTTACTTTTTCTTTAAAATTGTTTTAAATTTTTGAGAATTCAAGAACTTGCAATTATTTTGGAAAACTGCTTATGTGGAAAATTTCATACAGAATGAAGCACTGTGAACCCAAGGCTAATCTCTGCCACAAAGTGAGAGACTTTGTCTAAAAAACAAAACAGACAACTTCCCCCTCCAACCAAAAAGAATGAAGCAGGGGCTGGAGAGATACCTCTGTGATGGAGAACGTTGGCTGCCCTTGCAGAAGACCTGGGTTCAGCTTCCAGCAGCCACATAGTGGCTCACAACTCCAATCCCAGGGCATCCAATGCCCTCTTCTGACCTAAGTCCCAGGCACACGCATGGTGGACAGATGTACATGCAGGCAAAGCATCCATACACATAAATAAAATAGTAATAATTAAAGTATATTTTTAAAGTGAAGCATTATTTGTTCTGTACAGTTCTTACTGGGACTAGACATAGGACTTTCTTTAAGCAGACCGTGAGTAACTTGAAGCCACAAACACTTTTCCACCAGGTTTCTGTTTATTGTGTCTGTTGAGTCAAGAGTAGAGATTTGGTCAGTAGTCATCACAGCGAGGTGAGATTAATCTGAAGGTAGAAGGAAGAACTGGGTGTGAGCTAATCAAGGGGGAAGGGCCCCTCAGAGGATTGCCAGCATGCCTTAATTTGGTCAGATCTGAGTCCATGTGATTACCTCAGTATACTGGTCGGTGAACATTACTGTCCAAAATGTAATTATTAACCAGCTCTGTCTTTCTTATTTAGTTTTACTACTGATAAATAGCCTTTTGAATTGACTTTGCAAAAAGAAAGAAACAGACACCTTTTAACTTGTTTTCTTTTAGTCCTTATCTAAATTGTTTCAAAGCGCGTACCCCTTCACTGTCCTAAGAGACGTACAGTTATTTGATTAAATTAAAGATTCTTATATTCTTTCTTATTCTCTTGAGACATAAGAAGTTACTTTAAAAGCTTGCCGTCTGAAATCACTACTGAGCACACTTGATTCAGTCTTAGTGCAATCAAAGTATGATTTCTTGTTATCTTGCACAATGCTGGGAACAGGGCAAAGCAGGGCGAAGGTTGGTTGACAGCCCCGGGCCAGTGTGGGTGGGAGGGAGTACAGCTGCTCGTCCATGCGAATGTTCTTGACAGAACACTGCGGAGACGGTACCAGACCGCCTCTTCTTGGACTATATCGCTTAGTAAGCACCTGGGAAGTACCATTAAAATAATGAGTGTGCATAGTTAAAATGTAATTTAAAAGTATTATTGAACAAGATTTTATTGTCCCTTCCTGGCAGCTTTTTTTCTGAGCTGTGCAGAGCATAGTTCTTACTCAATGCAGTATATGGTTCAGCAGAAATCCTTGGCAGGAAACAGGGAGCAAGGCACTGACGACCTTAATGGTCACTTTTCACACATTCAGATTAAATGAAAATCTTTTACTGCTGTATCCTTCATTTATTAAGCCTTTCCCCATTTTTGTTCTTTATTTTCAGAAAGCATTGACAAGATCTGTTTTTGCTAAGGGAACTCCTTGTAAGACTTGTTCTTCATTTTATGTGCATGAGTGTTTAACTGCAGATGTGTGTGTACCACGTGCATGGCTGGTGCCCACTGAGGCCAGAAGAGGCCATCTTTGATGCCTCTGAAGTTATGGTGGTCACGAGGTGCCATGAGGTCAGGAACTGAGTCCAGGCCCTCTGCTAGAGCAGCAGATGTCCTACACTGCTGAGCTGTCTCTCCAGCCCCTGTAAGAGGTTTTCTTCTACCAAGCACCGCCAAGAAAGATGAAAGCTCTGTTCTGTCTCTTTCATCTTTCCACAGCTCCATCGAGCCCCTGTACCTCACCTATGGAATCATCTTTGCCTGTGGCTGCTCCTTTGCCTACCAGCCGTCACTGGTCATTTTGGGACACTACTTCAAGAAGCGCCTGGGCCTAGTCAACGGCATCGTCACGGCCGGCAGCAGCGTCTTCACCATCCTGCTCCCTTTGCTGTTAGGGAACCTGACCAGCACCGTGGGCCTCTTTCACACACTGCGGATCCTCTGCGTCTTCATGTTCGTTCTCTTTCTGGCTGGCTTTACTTACCGACCTCTTGTTCCCAGCACCAAAGAGAAAGAGAGTGGTGGCAGCAGAAGCTCCTTCTTTTCCCGGAGAAAGCTTAGTCCTCCAAAAAAAATCTTCAACTTTGCCCTCTTCAAGGAGACAGCCTATGCAGTGTGGGCTGCTGGGATACCGCTTGCACTTTTTGGATACTTTGTGCCTTATGTTCACTTGGTAAGTATGCATC